ACAGTTCATTGGAAATGCATTAAAACTCATTACGACACACAATACGTGCATTTTCATGCATTTCGGTAGACCATAATGGGCCAGTCAGTGCATGAATGCATATAAACTGAACATCTCTCATTTTTACAATCCCTTACACTTACCTCCTGCTGAAAAGTCCATTAGTCAGGGCGTCACATGTGCAGTACAATCCCCGTTCTTGTCTAAAGAAGGTCCACAATTGGGACTAATTTTAATATAAATACAGATTCTGCTGCACATGTGCTGAACATCCAGGAGACTTCTCATGAGAGGCTTTAAAACCCCAACAAAGGATTTCAAAATCCTTTCCTACTCAATTATAAAAAAAAAAAAAATCTTACGTGGAATTTCACTTTAAACACGCTAATTACTAGTCAAAATAAAGCTGAATGGTATGTCCATAAGTAACATGTACAACAAAAATATGAATGTAAAATCAAAAAACCGCAAATAAGCCATTTGGCAGTGTCACAATTTCACTAACCCAGCTTCTGTCAACCAGGATGCAATCTGGGTTCATCAGGAGTACTTGCAAAATAAATTAAAAAAAAACAAAAAAAAAAACGACAGATTGCTGTACTAACACAAGCAGCGTGTTAGTGAAAGTACAGCAATCCCCCCCCAAAGCATACACCAGCAGCCAACCAGAAGCCAATCAGCAGATGAATGTCCGGCTTCTGTTAGACCGACTGACGTACACATGGGCCGAATGTCAGCCAGTTTCTGTTAAAAAAAAAAAAGTTGAGGAATGCTGCTCTAACTAGTCAAAAGGAAAAAGGAAGCTTGCAGACCAGCTGGCTGATACATCATTTGAAATGTGAAAGTGAAAAGAAACAGGATTCCTATGCCAGACACATCTTTAACAGACAATACGATTTTGTATTCTAATTGTGCAAATGTAATAATGTTAAAGCATGCAGAATATAACATAAAACATGTAACATAGAACATAAAACACAAAAGGTATATGGGACGGGGTAGAAAAACTAAATAGCACTGAAAAGCTACAGACAACACTTGTGGGCATAAATTGCCAAAACTACACTTGCTTAATTTACTGAAATAAGCAATTTGACTTGAATGTCAAAACAACTTCTGATTTTTGAGAACTCTTTTTCAATTATTATAAGCTTCATATTGACAGTGTCTGTCAGTTTAATATTTAACTGCCTGGCTTTTCAAAATGAAACAAAAAAAGAACATGGTAATCCCACTTTAATCAAGGCCACCAAGAGGGCTAATCAAGGGATCACTAAAGGCAAATTATGTCATTGTCATAAATTGGAAAAGTACTTGACAATAAGGCTACAAGCACAGATATTTGAAGGCACATAAAGCCTAGGGGGCTGCGGGGAGAACATAAAATACACTGTATGCACAGGTAAACACTGTTGCAAATAAGCATCAGTGTTTATATAAGGACAGAGAAGTACAGCCATTCACTTCTATGGCTGGCTGTACCACCTGCAGGTCACTGGATGTGGAAAAATGGGATCTTTATGCTAGGTATATTTTTATACCTGCAAATGTCCATATGCATGAGGTCTAACAATCAAAGATGAAGCACTTTAGGAGATTATTACACGAGGACACCAAACAAGTTAGCAGTTTGTCCCTGCTATCTTTACTAGCCAGGAAACCCTTTGCTATAAGCCCATGAGATGCAGTTAAGAGAGCTTTTTATCATCAAACCATAGGCTGGCCATACACTATACAATGTTCTGTCCAATTTCCTTTAGATTTACCTTCAACTATGTAGTGCAAGAGCCTGCCTAATTGGATACAATTGAAAGTGTTGTTAGGTGTGACCTCCTATTATATGGTTTTTGGTAAATCTAAACCAAAAATCTCAAGAAAATTGTATAATGTATGGTCAACCTTAGGCAGGCTCTGCACAGAAACCAGAATTCACATCTCTGGTTTAAAGTGAAATTATAACAGGTATTTACAGAACACCAACAATCTCATGTACATACACACACATACTAGAACATTTAGACAGGAGTCAATTACCTTACAAGCATGTTTTTGGAGTGAAACAGATCAAATGGACATATTTTCCAGCACACCACAGATCATCAAATATGTCCAAATCTATACTGAAGAATGATCATATCACAGAAAACATAGTTCATTTCAGAGCACAGGACCCCTTTGTCAGGCATGTCATCACACACCTGACCAAGAGGTCCATGGCTCCGAAACGTTGCACTATGTGACTATGTCTTCTGTGACAAGATCATTCTTCAATAAAGACTTGGACATATTTGAAGATCTGTGGTGTGCTCACAAATATGTGCATTTGATCTGTGATGTCTCCAGTTACAGATGGTTGTTGCTGTAGAAGCCGTTACTCCTAAAGCCTTATCCATGAAAGTGTGCAATAGAAATATCGATACTACTTTGGAGTGAAACACACGCAAGCACAGGGAGAACATGCAGATAGGGTCCCAGGCTGGTTTTAAACTGCACTGCTAGGTAGATGTGCCAACTACCAAACTTTTTTTTAACCCCTGTTAATTTCTTTAAGTGAAATTAAATTAGCATTTGTGACATGGGCTTAACTTATACATTGCATGGGTTAATGTCAGGAGTTAAGCTTTAGCCTACATTTGATTTGGAATCCTCTTTGAAGTGTAGTCAGATTCTTACATTGTAATACTGAAACCATCAGTACTTGGCATCCTCCCTAGCTCTAGATTCCTGTGACAGCACCTCTGCCCTGGAAGCAGCAGTGCTAAGTATAGCAACAGCACTTTTACAGGTTGTATTTATCCATTCCATCCTAGGGTCAGGTAGATGTTTGAAGAACTATATTTATAAGGGAATTCCACTAAAAAAAAAATGTAAAAATAAATAAAAATCTAGCATATAAAATTGAGATAAGTAAATTTGTATTTAGGTTATTAAAAAAAGCTTTCTTTTTGAAGTCACTCTAATCTGATAAAATTGTCTAAAAATTAAATGCAATATTGCAACTTGGATGTGTTCTGTACATTGTTAGTAAACAGAAGACCTCCAGAAATGTAATTTCCTGCCTGTGTGATTGGCGCACTGATTTTCTCAAGGTGTCTGCACTAAGATGCAAGTGAAATTTTAGGCATCCTGTGAAATAAGAATTCATTTTTGGTGAGATACTGCCCAAAGATTAATTACTTTTTTAAAAAGGGATGTAGACACTGCAGTTGTCCTTATTTAAAAACACTGAAAGTGCATCAATTGGTTATGAGTGCAGATTCTCCCAATGAGGAACTGGTCTTCCAAGGACATAGTGGAACACTCAGCTTTTACTGCAGAACAGAACAGAACAGAAGCAAAATGGACTCGGCTAGAAAGTTTGATAAAAGCCTTGCAATGTACATAGATCACCCAGAGGAGATTGTTTCTTTCTGAGCTGTCAGTACAGCACAACTATCCTTTGCCTGATTAACAATACCACTACGTTAACAACAGGTTCTCTTTAAGATATACACATTTGTTTTTGTAATATTGGAATTATGAAAATATTATTATAAAGACTTTACTCCTCTAACACATTTGTAAAAGAATAGGAGGTATAATGAAAGGTTGTGTAAATTCTTACTTGAACAGAATAGAGCAGCTTTTCGTGTATAAAAATATTCCCTTTTTATCCTGTTGCTGTGCCCATACAGCCATACAATAGCTGATCCACCTCCAAGAGCCTCTGAACACAAGTTGTTCTAAAATTCCTTTTTTGGACGAGGACAGGAGGTAGTACCCCACCCAAGCGCAATGCTAAGAAAATATTCAACTTAGAAAATATTTCCACCGACATATTTAGAGCTGTGCTTCTATAATCTGCCTGGCTGGGTCACAGCATTATGTAACAAACTCCCAAAGCAGACAAAGCAAATACACAAATTTAATAGATGCTCAAGTGAGCTTTATGGCACAGACAGCTGCATTACGGAGCTACTGTAAGACAGAAATGTATGTCAATACATAGGCTCAAACACTAGTTTCAGCTCAAATAGAACATCTATCTCGTACAACTGCATTAACCCTTCGCTGCCAGGCCCTGAGCTCAACTTTTAAACTTATAAACTTACTGTATGTGGCCAGACCATTTTTGTAATTTTTCCATTGCTTTTTTTATTTTTCCCTTACAGCTTTCAGTTTGCAAAAGACCCACCAAACCATATATTTTCTAAAAGCATATGAACAGTAAAATAAAAAAAAAATTAGGGCACCGCGATATTTGTGCAAATGTTGCGGTGCCCTAAAAACAAGATTTTCACAAAAAATATACTCAAGTAATTATTAACATACATATACAGCAAATGTTACAAACGTCCTACTAAATAAAACGTTTATCCTATATTGAGTTAATAAATAATATTTGTACATTTTAAATGGTGACTTTTTGCAAAATGGTGAAAATCGAACGAACGCAAACATTTCTTAAAAAAACTGGAGGTTTTAATTTCTCACTTGCAGCTTTCAGAGTTTGACTCCTAAACCATATATTTTCTGAAAGCACATGATCAGTAGAATAAAAAGAAGTGCTACTGAAGACGGTCCCTTTCTCTACAGCGTGAGCTGCACTTTAGATGAATGGATAGGAGTCTTTATAGACTTCTATTCATTTATAAAAAGGAACATAGTAAACACTTTCATTCACAAACTGAAACCTAGTAAACACAAGTTTACTATGTATCAGCGATTAACTGCTTCCTCTCCCCCTATAGCAGAAATACTGCTACAGGGAGGCACTGGTGTGCATGAAATCAGGTATATATACGTGATCGTGATTTTGCAATTCCAGGTGGGGGGGGGGGGGCACGTGCGTTCTACCTGCACCGCCATTCGGCTGGTGATTACCTACCAGCTGGTGGGGCTGGTGATTTCCCACCAGCACCCAGCAATCTCCGAGGATTTCCAACGTGGGAGAGACCTGTATGTAAACAATACAGATCTCTCCCCTGTCAGCTCCTGCACACTGCTATGCAGAGCCATACAAAGCAGTGTGCTTACAGTGAAACACACACAGCCCACATAGTAAAACAGCACATAGTTAACCCTTTCATCACCCCACATGTTAACCCCTTCCTGTCCAGTGCCATTAGTACAGTGTCAGTGCTTTTTATTAGCATTGATTGGTGTCACTGGGGATGTCCCCCCCAGTGTCAGAATGCCCGCCACAGTCCCGCTGTAAGTCGCTGATCGCCATCATTACTAGTAAAAAAAATTAATAAATAAAAAAATTTCAGTAAATATACCGCCATTTGTAAACGCTATAACTTTCAGACAAACCAATTAATTTACACATATTGGCATTTTGTTTTAGGAAAGGCATGTATCAGAACACATTTTGTCCTAAATTTATGACAAAATTTTATTTAAGATTTTTTTACTGGACATATTTAATAGCAAAAAGTAAAAACTATATTTTTTTTCAAAATTGTTGGTCTTTTTAGTTTATAACGCAAAAAATAAACGCAGAGGCAATCAAATACCACCAAAAGAAAGCTCTATTTGTGGGGGGAAACAGCGCAATTGTCAGTTAAAGTAACGCAGCGCCGTATCACAAAAAATGGCCTGGTCAGAAGTGGGGTAAATCCTCTAGAGGACAAGTGGTTAATGAATACAGAAGCGATATGTGCTGATCGCTGTCTGCATTCAGGAAAGGAAGCTGCAGCGGCTTTCCCTTCTCACTCTGCTGATAGCTATCAGGATGGAGAGTGGGGGCGCTGGAAACATGTTTACCAGCCCCCTGCTCTCCATCCTGACAGCTGTCAGCAGCTACAGCTAGCAGGATGGAGAGCTGGCTAGCAGCACTGCATGGGGTAACGGGGGGGGGGGGGGGGGGGGGGCGGAGGAAGTCGCATCTGTCAGCAGCTGCTCTCCCTCCTCACCCTGCTGACAGCTGTTAGGATGGACAGTGGGGGAGCTGCTAAGCAGCCCCCTTGTACTTCATTCTGACAGCTGTCGGAGGCTGCAGTCGGAAGGAGAGTGAGGAGGGAGAGCTGGCTAGCAGCACTGCATGGAAGGGCCACAGGGGATCATTGGGGGCGAGTCACATCTGTCAGCAGCTGTAGAGGCTCTCCCTCCTCACCCCACTGACAGCTTTAAGTATGTGGGGGGGGGGGGGGGGTCACTAATCAAATTTTGTTCAGCATTTCTGCTACCAGCTCATGGTCAATGAAGTGACCAAGAGCTGATAGTAGAAGCAGGAATGTGAGGAATGGCAGGTCTGTATGGCATATGGAACTGGCTAGCTGCATGCAGTGCTGTAGGTCCTGGCAGCAAAAGGCTTAAAGTGGTTGTAAAGGCTCAAGTTTTTTACCTTCATGTATTCTATGCAGGAAGTTAAAAAACCTTGTGTGCAGCAGCCCCCCCAATATTTACCTGAGCCCCATCACGATCCAGCGATGTGCACAAGAGCCTCAGCTGTCCCTCAGTCTCTCCCTCTTCATTAGCTAAGACAGCTGAGACTCCTGCTTTGGTCAATCACAGCCAGTGAGCCAATGAGGAGAGGGGGCGGGGCTGAGCTGCGGCTGTGTGTGAATGGGCCCACAGAGCAAAGGTTTGGAAGTGGGCCTGCTTGGGTGCTCCCATAGTAAGCTGCTTGCTCTGGGGCAGGGGTAGGCAACCTGCGTCTCTCTAGGTGTTGTGGAACTACATTTCCCATGAGACATTACAAAATTGACAGTTACAGCTATGACTTGCAGAGGCATGATGGAACTTGTAGTCCTGAAACAGCTGGAAAGCCGCAGGTTGCCTACCCCTGCTCTGGGGGTACTAGGCCCAAGAGAAGAGACAGGAGTGCTAGTGCTGGACCCGAGAAGAGGGGGAAGGGCTGTTCTGTGCAAAACCATTACATAGAGAAGACAAGAATGATATGTTTGTTCTTTTAAAAAAAATCTGCTTTCACAATCACTTTAATTAAAGCAGAATGAAAGGCAAAACTCCTTTTCATTTTAGACAGAGTAAAGGAGGGTTAGAACTCCTGTGAGTTTTATTTTTGCCATCTGTGTCTCACTGGAGAGACAGATTTTCCTTCACTTTCTATCCCACACCCAAAACAGGAAGTGAGAGCAAACACCCCAAACTGAGAATTCCTCTGGCTCTCACCAGGACTAGTGTCCCCATTGGAAGATTTCCCTTCTATCCCTGTTGTGACCCAAAATTTTGGATTGTCTTTCACTCTGTGAAAATGGTAAACTGGAAAAACAGAGTGTGTGAATTTCCCTAATGAGGGCACAGACCGCAATAAAAACCTGACAGCTATTCTAAATCCTCTCCATTCTGTCCAAAACTTTAAAAAAGCTTTGCGTTTAGTTACACTTTAAAGCAGACCTGGACAAATCGAGGCCTCAGGGTTACATCTGGCCTTTTGGCTGCCCTATGAGGCCCTTGATGCCTCCACTAAATATGCTGACAGGTTCAGAGAGGCACACTGACGGATGTTTGTGTACCTAACACTGTGGCTCTGCTGGTTGTTTTTACCACCCCCCCCCCAACCACCCGTCTGAAGGAGGCTGCAGATTACATTGCTTTCTGCGGTGTTTGGTGGTGGGGGTGTTTCCACAAACTTCCAGAAGTTTCAGCTACTGGGAGTGTGCAAAAACACTGAAATGCTGTCGGATAAAAGCAATCCGGCAGCTGTGCAGCCCCTGAATCGCTTCCATGAACCCCAGTAAGTGAGGGGTCCATGTGGGTGCAGGTACATATCCCCAAAACTCATACTGTCTGTGTTCGGGGACATGCACCTACACAGATGTCAAATTGGCAAAAAACGGCTGTGCCCATGCAGCTACTGTGTCCCAACTGACACAGTAGGAAAACCTGCTTGTGATTGCACAGAACAACTGTGCAACCCATTGAACAAACACAGCCCTTCACAGTGGTGTGTTCTTAAAGTGCTTGTAAACCTCAGACATGAAATATGAACAAAGCATATCCCTCTGTAGTGTGTACTTATCCAGAATGCTAAGTGTCATTTTTCTCTGTTGCCTTGTTCCTCTGTTATCAGCATTAGTCCTGTGGTAGACCAGATAAAGTGAATGCAGGGTCCTGGGTTTGGTAACACTTTAAAGTCCCATATGCAGGGGACTATGACAGCCACAGTGGATGAAAAACTCTTGGCAAGCACTCTACAGACATAAGACTTGCAATAGCCAACGCAGGAATGTTGGCAAAAGATCTAGCACAGACAAAAAGATTACTCATGTTTTACAAAAACAAATTAGGATTGCACAATATCAATTTATTGAAGTCTACTGTCCATAACGTGCAAACTTACCCTAAGAGTTTTTGCAAAAGAGCCACTTTAATGATTAAAGTGTTCAAGAGGATACAGAAGAGAGGAAAAAAAAAAGAAAAAACTCACCTTAGCTAACATGAAAACTAAAAGTATTATTGTTTTAAACCATACCTTTACTGCGCCTAGCTGTTCCTTCCGAAATCGCTCCAGAGGTTTAATCAAAGTTTCATTTACATTCATTGCCTAGTAACAAAAAAAATAAAAATATAATTACAGCGTGTGGACAACAGTCTGAGATATATAGATTACACACACGTATATATGCATACACACACACAGCGGGTAAAATAAGTATTGAATATGCCACCATTTTTCTAGGTAAATATATTTTCAGAGCCGCTATTGAAATTTTCACCACATATCGGTAACAACCCGTACACACAAACAAATAAGTTTAGAAATTAAGTAATATGTAACAAATATGAATGACATAGGGAAAAAGTATTGAACACATGAAGAAAGGGAGGTGCAAAAAGGCATGGAAAGCCGAGACACCAGCTGAAATCTATCAGTAATTAGAAAGCAATCCTGCCCCTTGTCAGTGCAAATTCAGATCAGATGGTTCAGTCTCAAATGATGGGCTATAAAAAAAGTGTCTCATTACCAAGGTGTCACACAAGAAACAAAGAAGCAAAGAGCTCTCTCAAGACCTTTGCAACCTTATTGTTGCAAAATATACTGATGGCACTGGTTATAGAAGGATTTCTAAACGTCTGAAAGTTCCCGTGAGCACTGCTGGGGCCATATTCTGGAAGCGGAAAGAACATAATTTTACCATAAACCGTACCATAAACTCCTTGCAAGATTTCAGACATAGGAGTGAAAAGAATTACCAGAAGAGTTGTCCAAGAGCCAAGGACCACTTGTGGAAAGCTTCAGAAAGACCTGCACTCAACCGCCATGGTCTGTATGCATGATCACCACACAAGACTCCATTGCTGAGGAAAAAGCATGCTCTTTTAAAGTTTGCTGCACAACATTTAGACAAGCCTGTGCAATACTGGGAGAATATAGTCTGGTCAGATGAGACCAGAATTGGACTCTTTGGATACCATAATACACACCATGTTTGGAGATCAAATGGCACTGCACATCAGCGCAAAAACACCATAACAACAGTGACGTTTGGAGGTGGGAACATCATGGTCTGAGGCAGTTTTTCAGCATTCGGTACTGGCAAACTTCATATCATTGAAGGAAGGATAAATGGAAAAATGTACGAAGATATTCTTAATAAAAATCTGCTGCCATCTACCAGGATGATGAAGATGAAATGAGGGTGGACATTTCAGCAAGACAATGACACAAACACAAAGCCAAGGCAACTCTCAATTGGTTTCAAAGAAAGAAAATAAAGCTGCTAGAATGGCCCAGACAATCACCTGACTTGAATCCAATACAAAATCTATGGAAAGAACTAAAGATCAGAGTTCATAAAAGAAGCCCACGGAACCTTCAAGATTTGAAGACTGAGCAAGGCATGCGACTAGTTTCTCCATACAGGAGGCATCTTGAAGCTGTCATTACCAACAAAGGATTTTGTGCAAAGTATTAGAATTTCAGTTAGCGTGTTCAACACTTTTTCCCTGTGTCATTCCATTTTCTTGCACATAACTTAATTTCTTAACTTATTTGTTTTGGTTTCTTTGTATGTATAGATTGTATGGGTTCTTACCGACATGTGGTGAAAATTTCATGTCAATAGCACCTTTAGAAATATATTTAATGAGAAAAATGGTTACATGTTAATTACTTATTTTACCTGCTGTAATATAAATAATAATATATATATATATATATATATATATATATATATATATATATATATATATATATATATATATATAGGTTCAAGCATACACAAAATATTGTAGGTATTTTTTATGCCCAACATTAA